GTGTGTGTGTGTGTGTGTGTGTTGTGTGTGTGTGTGTGTGTCTGTGTGGTGTGTGTGTGTGTTTCTGTGTGTGTGCGTGTCTGTGTGGTGTGTGTGTGTGTTTCTGTGTGTGTGAGAACAGAAAGAGAAACTGACAAAAAAACAATAAAAAAGTCATTTCTGGGAACAGATGAAAGCAAACGTCTGGTATTGGTGTGTGATTCTGACATGACAGATTAGATAAAAATGTGTAATAAAGCCTCGGAGCACAAAGATAACGTTTCACAACGTGTGTGTGTGTGTGTGTGTGTGTTTCTGTGTGTGTGAGAACAGAAAGAGAAACTGACAAAAAAACAATAAAAAAGTCATTTCTGGGAACAGATGAAAGCAAACGTCTGGTATTGGTGTGTGATTCTGACATGACAGATTAGATAAAAATGTGTAATAAAGCCTCGGAGCACAAAGATAACGTTTCACAACGTGTGTGTGTGTGTGTGTGTGTGTGTGTGTGTGTGTGTGTGTGTGTGTGTGTTAGCATTTCCTCTCAGAAAAGTCCTTTCATCTTCCCCTAACGCTCTCATTTCAGCTCGTTTCCGTTAATTTCACCGACAAAATAAGAGTTTGTCTTCCACTTCGTGACTCGTCTTTAACGTCGTAGTTTTGTAAAGCTTTTATTCTCAAAACACCCAAATAAACAGATTTTTAACTGGATTTGTTTTAAAAAATCACAAACAAAATTCCCTTGAAAGCTGATGGTAAATTTTCTAACAGGTTCCGTAAAGAAATCATCTTTATGGAAAGAAAAACGCCACATTTTGGACGTTTTAAACTTTAAAGTATTCATTATCTCTGCAGTGATCCTGCTCCATTAGAGCTTCAGCTGTTGTTAGGATTTAATCTGGATTTGTTTCAATTAATAAAATAAAACATCTAAAGTTTTGTTTCTTAACTTGCTGCTAAAAATCAAATAACGACTTTTCTTTAAGACTTAATTGAAACTAAACGTTTAAAATACGTTTTAACAAAGAGCAGCTTTAAAAAAAATAACACCTGAAGAGCTTACATAGAGGGGGCGGGGCTTACAAGCCAGCCGGTGGCTGGCTTGTAAGCCCCGCCCCCTCTATATAAGCTATGTAAGGATATGTAAGGATAAGTTCATGTTGTTGACATGTTTCCTCACCTTGCGTCCGACGTAAACCGGGATGCCGATGACCATGGCGGGGACGGCGATCCCGGCGATGAGCGTGATGCCGACGGGCGCTCCGATCAGCGTGCCCAGCTGCCACAGGATCTTCTTCTTCCTGCTCCACGGCTTCTTCCCCCAGAAGGTGCAGCCGGACGGACTGAGGGAGGCAGGAGCGTGAGTCAAACACTGAGTCTGAGCGGGGGGGTCCGCCTCGCAGGAGGGGCGGGCGACGGTACCTGAGGTAGTGCAGGTCTGAGATCTCCTTCATGCAGAGCCAGCAGAACTCGCAGCCGCACACGGCGCAGGTCATGTGGTTGCAGCTGCCGTCGTTCATCTTGATGATGTAGGCGCCGCAGCGAGGGCAGGGCTTGATGTCGTCAGCTGGACACACACAGGATTTGGACTTTTAGGAACTTTTACTCATGTTTGAAGGAGATTTTTCATTATTTTTTGTGTTTTACAGGTTTTATTTTCCTCTAAACTAAATAAAACTCAAAGAAACACACAAGCCCGCCACCTTTCATATCAAGCGATCAGTTAGAGCAGATTCTCAACCCATGGAGCGCCACCTTGAGGGCCTCAAAAGAACAACAGTTTTNTCCTTACAGAAAATCTAACTGCTCGTTTTAAATCTACACTTTGACTTTTAATACTTAACTACAACAAATATCACATACTTTAAGACTTTTACTCAAGTAATATTCCTAAAGGAGACTTTAACTTTTACCAAAGTAAGTTTTATAAGATACTTGTACTTTTACTCAAGTAATATTCCTAAAGGAGACTTTAACTTTTACCAAAGTAATTTTTTGGTAAGATACTTGTATTTTACTCAAGTATGACTTTGTGGTACTTTATATATCACTGGATCAGAGAATATTTGGGTTTGTTTCCATGATTACTTGCTCCTCCTTAAATAACAGTAGTTAAGTTTCTCCACCCGCTCCTGCTCTCTGTTCCAAGGACAAACTATGAACGTTGGGTGACCGTGCCTTTTCTGCGGCCGCACCTCGTCTCTGGAATCAACTCYCTCTTGATCTACGTTTGGTCTCTGAACTTGGCCCTTTCAAATCGAATCTTAAGACCCTTTTATTCCAACAGGCTTTTAGTGCTTAATATGTGGTGACATTTCTGGTTTTAGTTTTGTTATTTTGTGGTGTTTTCTTGTTTTTGCTCGTTGTCATGTTAATCACTGACTCTGTGAAGCACTTTGGTCACCGTGGTTGTGTGAAGCGCTACAGCAACAAACAAATAAATGAAAATTAGATTGAGGTGCAGTTTTCACCGTCGGCCACATGAGGGCGCCACAGCAAAGCTCCAAGCAAACATCTCATTGTTTTAGAATGAGTAGAATGGCTCAAAAACAAAAAGTCTTACAATTATTATTAAATTATAACATAACAAAAACATATATAATAAAATTATATAATTATTAATAAATTATCACTGAATAAAACTTCCTATAAATCAGGAAAAACAGCAATTTTTTACTTTCACAAAAATGACTACAACTCAATTTCTTTTCATTAGATGATATTATTTTTAAAGTAGCAGGTTTGGCTTGTTTTACTTACTTACTTACTTACATACGTACTTACTTACTTACGTACTTACTTACGTACGTACTTACGTACTTACTTACTTACGTACTTACTTACTTACGTACTTACTTACGTACTTACTTACTTACTTAAGTACTTACTTACGTACTTACTTACGTACTTATTTACNCAGACCCTCTACACCTGAACAGACCCTCTACACCTGAGCAGACCCTCTACACCTGAACAGACCCTCTACACCTGAACAGACCCTCTACACCTGAACAGACCAGGTTACCTGCTGTATTTGCTGGTTCGAGCTCCCAAAGCTCCACCTGCGAGCGTGTTGAAGTGGGGCGTGTCTCCCAGGTTCCCGGGGGCCACAGAGAGCCCCTCGCTGGGGGAGGTGGTGCTCAGACCGCTCACCGCTCCGTCCAGGCTGCTCTCTCCGAGGCTTGGGGACTTCAGGGCTCGCCACGCGTCTGCCACTGCACCACCGGACGACGGAGGAGAAAACAAACGTTACGAGCCTGGAAACGGATCAGCGTCTTCAGCAGAGGACGTCCGGAGCGCTCACCTGTGATTGGCCCGTCGTCCTCGTCGAAGTCGATCCGCACGCCACGCCCCTTCCCTCTGCTGACGCCGCAGCCCCCGCCCCTGCACAGCGAGATGGGCACCACGCCGTACACGTAGGCCAGCATGATGGGAACGCCGATCCCTGGAAACCACAGGAACATCCGTCAGTCGGTTTGACAAAGAGATCAGAGAAAAATAAATCTCCACTTCGCCTCCTCACCAACGCTGACGGCTGCGATGACGGGAGCCGTGATGATGGACAGGGCCACGCCCCCCGTGATGGCCACATTCCTTTTGTGGTGAGACGTCTTCTTCAGCTCGTAGTGAGCGTAAATCTGCAGCAGGTAAAAATAAATTCAGTAAATGAAAACTGCTCACTCGCTGTAGTTTTAAAATAAAATCTCCTTTTGTTGAAACGTTTCAGTCGAACCTGAAGAACAAGATCAGAGCAGAGTTGTAAAATAACTAAGTACAAATACTTTGTTACTGTACTTATTATTTTTCAGCCTACCTTTTACTCCTACTTCTTACATTTTTAAAAAAGACAAGAAGTAGAAAGTTGTTACTTTTATTTCATTGCAGCTTGTTSTTGTAAAAAATAAAAACTATCCATATAAACTGAGCCTCCTAGATAGAGTGAATTTAACTGTGGTTGAATGAGAAGTATAAATATATAAAACTCTGATAGTGTATTAGTTTGTACACAAACAAATCATGTCACACTCCAGCAAGACATGGCAGACATGTAGCCTAGTATTTCAGCCTTGATATATGTATATAAACTGAAACAGCTGGACTAGTGCATCCTAAATTTAACATCCATTCAGTCTTTTAATACAACAGTCATTTCTGCAGTTTTTGGGGAGGTCACCTCCTAATAAATGTCCTTACAGAAAATCTAACTGCTCATTTTAAATC